ATACATTATGACATCTCCAGAAGTATAACCTCTATTAGTTTTTCTTTTATAAAAATATTTGCAAATAATGTAAACAAAACATTATTATATATATATATATATATGTATATATATATATATATATATATATATATATATATATATATATATATATATATATATATATATATATATATATATATATATATATATATATATATATATATATAAACCCACTAAATATACACAATGCACAAACAAAACAACAGACAGTTTTACAAACTAAACAACAGCTAGTTGTTTAGTTTGTAAACAAAACAATAAACAGTTGAACTTCTGGAATCCTTTTTCTATAATTATACTAAACATTGAATCGGAATCTAAAGTTATGCACGTTGAAATAAAAATAATTTAGATTACAGATATTTAGTTAAACAAATATAACACTTTGACTTTAGATTTTTAAATAATATCTTAAACATTAAAATATTCCTCAATAATGCGGAAAATAAACAAAGCCACTAAATATTCTGCAAGCGGCGTTTAATTTGCAGCGCATGGAGTCGAGGCAAGTGTGACAACCATCCCCATATATTTTGTGACAAGCAACCCCTTCTGAGTAAGTTGCTGGACACCTGTACATTTACCTAAAAGCGTGAGAATTTCATGATAATTTTTTACGGATTAAGTTACTCAAATGAATAAAGTACTTTATAAATCTACATTCAAAACACAATAAAATAATTTTCGTTAGGTAAAAGAAAATTTCTGAGTAGGCGAAATTTTACTTTTTCATATCAAAAACCTATAAAAACGAATAACTTTTCTTCTGCACGCTAAAAAAAGATAAAAATTACTGTAAAAATGTTTTTTTATATAACATTTCCATTGTATAATTTGAAATTTCTATATCTTATTTACATTTCCTGTAATAAACTTTGTGACAACCAACCCGCGTGACAACCAACCCCGCTCTCCCCTATATTAACGATCTGCCTCACTTTATGAATAATTCTACACTAATATTCTATGCTTAAATAAATTACTCGCGCAGCTTTGTAAAAAAGTTAATTCATTATTTGTGTCATTGGTTAAATAGTAAACATATTTCTTTAAATATCAATAAAACTGAATTTATCATTTTTCACCTTAAAAGATTGATAATGATAATGTGAAAATTAGAACGTGAAAAGACTTTAATATACTGCCAAATTCGTTTAATAATTTTTTTTATTAAAACAAGTTACACTCACAAATATTTCATTCAAAATACTAAAAATTTTAAGTTGCACACTTACTTTTTCAACACTATCAAAAATAAGACAGGCTTTCTATAAAACATCAATGTATTTCTCACTGAAACCAAGTAATACCTTTTATAAAAAAAAAACATTTTAAAAAAGGTAAAGTAAGAGAAAAAATTCCGTATGACTGCCATATCTTTAAGTTTGTTTACCAATTAAACAGTCTTAATAATTCTAATAACTTACAATACTATCTTCTAGATGTTAAGCAATATTTTACAAAGTACAAATTTTTCTTATTTTATTAGCTTTTTTTTTAAGCATGATTTGCGTTAGTAATTGACGTCTAAAAGAAAAAATTCAGTATTTGACCGTCTTTTGCTTTAGTAGTTGACCATATGTTAAACAAAAGAAAAATGAAATCGGTGATATTTTTTTTATTTTAATTCAGTTAATAAAACATCGTAAAGTCATTTTGTATATTTTTTAAGCGATGCAACACAAATACAACATTTTATTAAAAATGAAATGCTAAGTGAGCGTTCATTTCTAGTAAAAGGTATGATTCACGTCGTGAATATTTTTATATGTCAACAAATACTAAATTTTGTTACATATGAAATGACGAATAAACGTTCATTTCCCGTATAAGGTATGATCCACGTCTAGGACACAAGTTTAAAGGGCGGATTTTTTTTTTGATTTTGCTTCCTCAAATATACAAGTTTATCGTCCTTATCTGGCTAACGGTCAGAAGAAATTCCACTCCGAACCATTGTGGCTATTTTGTAGCAATTAGCCACAACTTGCACTACTTTTCCCGGAAAATTACTTGCTTCATACTCTACAATTACAAAGTCACCCGTTTTCAGCGTAATTAAATCTTTATCTTAAGATTATTTCAGAATCTTCATCATCGCTCAAGAAAAGATATAGATAAGTCTGAATCAAACTTTTCATAACAGTTTCCTTTTCTTTAATTTTTGCTTCCTTTTTTTTTCTTTTTTTTTCTTCTCATTCTTTTTCATTTTCTCTTCTTTCTTTCTTTCTCTTTGTTTTTTCTTGTTTCAGTCTTTCTGTTTCATTTTTTTCGATTTTCTTTTGAAAATACAATTGGCAAAGTTCCCCAGACACGAGGATATTCTTTCTTTTGGGTTTTGCCTTTGTGGCTTTATCTTGGAAGAAGAGTTTAGCGTATTTCCATAGGTAACCGCTCATATTTGTAGATCACTAACGGTGTTACTACATTAGAATTTCCAGTAATAAGTACTGTGAGACATTCTCTGTCATCTGTATTAACTTGTTGATATATTGTCTTATCTCCCTTTCTTGCAAGGAATTTAATTTCTTTCGGGTAAAGATAAAAGACGATTTCATCGCAATTAAAAAGTCGTGAGGGGTCCATCAGGATAAAATTTCTTTTTTTTTAAATTATTCTTAAGTTTTTTTCATTTAAGTATTCTTTTTTTTTTAAGTATTCATATTTCTGTGAACCACCGTAATATATTGTCCTGTGTCATTGATGCACGGAAAACTGTTAGGTTTTGGCTTGTACGCTTGGATATACTTTCATTTCTTCTTTAAAATTCGTGGATTCATGTTCTCCTAGGTTGATTATTAGTAAAAGGATTGTTTTTACTAAGGTCAGTCACCAACTATTGTACACTATCTTAAAGTTATTTTACAGTTACAGGAAATCCTGCCATTTCTAGGACCCAGTTAGCAATAACTAATTCCTCTTTATAGCTTAGGACGGTTAGAGGTCCCATTTTTCTTTCAATGGGTGACTTCCCCTCCAATTTATATTTTATATTAATTCTTCGTACATCATGTTTTTTAGCTGCTGCCCGGACTGGTTTATTATTATTTCTTACATCTTAGACGGCTTCCTTCATCGTTTTTTTCTGAATATTTTTAAAATTGACCCTTTATGGCAGGCATAATTAATCTAAAACAATACAAAAACGTATATACTCAGAAAAATAATACATCACTGTTCCAGTATTTGACCACCTGATCATCTATTAGATAAACCTAACTTATTATGTTAAGAATTTATAGTTTGCTAAAAAAACATGAAACATGCATGTTACAACAAGTTAAGATAAAGAAAGGAATAGCTTAGTAACCATTAATTATTAACTAATTAACCACCATTAACTTATTAACCATCAACTTATTAACCACCCCTGGTCAATTACTAAATTATTTAAATTTTCTGATCCAGTATATGACCACCCCCATGACTGATTACAGATGGCAGTAAACAGATAATAAATAACTTCTAATTAGTATTAAAGATACCTATTTTAAAATTAAATCAAGTAATCTAAAAATAAATGGTGTTTACCTTTTAAAACTAACTTTATTTGCGGCTTCTCCTTAGCAAATTGCTGAAGAAAACTTAAAAAATAGACAAAAGCACATTAATTATGTACAATAATTAATGTGCTTTTGTCAATTTTTTAAGTTTTTACATATGTACAACCAAATGGTAGGAGGGTATTTTCCCGCTGTTTTTCAAAACGTTCTTCTATAGTAGGGCTTATTTGAACAATTTTTTGTCTAAATGGTCAACTACTGTTTTTTTTTTCAATTCTTTCTTTTAAATATCAACAGGGTTTACTTGGTTTTCCTCTTCTGGTACCTGTTTTTTGATAAATGGCTTTCCTCTTCTGGTACCTGTTATGTGATAAATGACTTTCCTTTTCTGTCACGTGATAAATGATTTTAAAAAGAACTTAATTGTTGTTATGTAGTCTTTTTATTTCATAAATCAAAAGCCTTTACTCACGACACTTCACTTTTACTCACGACACTTCACTTTTACTCACGACTCTTAACTTTTACTCACGACACTTCAAGCTCACTTCATATAGCTTGTATAGAAAGTAGACTAATAATTGAATAATAGACGACTACTTTAATTAGAGGGGAAGAGACAGGGATGAGTATAAAATCTAAACTTTAAATTAAATTTTCCATTTTTTTATTTGTTATATTTTTTTTAATTTGTATTATTTTTATTTTAAATAATTTTCTTGTGTAAACAAATATGTAATTTTATTTTATTTTAACTCCATTTATTGAAAGTTCCCTTCTAGCACTGCTTTACTATTTTGTCTCGTTACAAAACTGACCCATTCAGCTTTAATTGAAACATTTTCTTACATACTATCTTGACTTTTTTTATTTATTTATTTATATTCAAAAAAGTAAATACTATTGGAAAAAAAAAATAAAGAGTTCAGCATTTTTTATTTTCAACTTGTTTTTGATTTTTTTTTTAACTTAATTATTTACGATATGTTGTTTAACGATATTGCATATGTACCTTGGTACATAGTTTAGAAAATATTTAATATATTTATTTAATTTCTTTAACAAGGAAATAACCTACACCTCTGTATCTAATAATCCTTATTTCCAAAGCTTAAGTTAACATACAGCCTTTGAATAGGAAGGATCTGTATTCAAAATGTTAACAATAAAAAAATGTCACTGTTCTAAAAACATTAAATGCCTAAATACTGGAGAAAATTATAAATATAGAGAAGTTTTAATATAACTTAATAAATACTTAAAATATACAAGTTACTTAGAATTAATTAAAATTTTACAAGTTACTTAGTTAATACGTACAATTTAATTGTACAAGACCACTTTGAAAACCCGATATTTGGTTTTATTTGTGTTTATTTAGTAATACGCAACTAAAACTAAACTGAACAGTTCGGTTTGCTTTTGATGATTGATGAAGCTTTTTTGATGATGCATGAAACTCAAAATTTCATTCAAAAACTAATTAGTTTTTAAATGAAAAAAAAAGTGTGCATACACAGAGGGGATCCTTAAAAGCATACAATTGCATACAAGAGGTGCAAGAAATCAGTAGTTTTACTGTGTACGCACTTAATGGATGGCCTTCAACTAGCTCACAGTTTCTTTACAAATTCAACTTAAGTAAGTTTTTTTTTGAATTATTTTTAGTCGTTAGAGCATTCAATTTTTTTCAGTTGACTATAATTTAAAAAATGTCAATTATATAAATATCAAAACTTTGATACTTTATATTTAAACAGGTAGCTCAACTTTCAAAGAATGTTAGGATATCTTCAAAAGATAACGTTAAAAACATAATGGAAAGGTAATTTTTCATAATATTTATTCACTTAGGTTATTTAGTTTACTTTATATACCAGAGTTTTACTACAGCCATAAGTTATTATACAAATAATAACTTGATTTTATAGTCTAATGTCATACAAAGTGATGTTGTGCTTCAACATGAAAGGGACCAATCATCATGCATGTGTCTATACTTTTTCTCTTAGCATGATAAGAGAAAGAATATAGACACAGTATCAGAAAAACAAAGTTTTGAAAAATTACAACTTTTTGATCTTATCATAGGTAAACCAGGGTTGTTATTTATTAATTATTATTATTAGGTAAGTAGTTATTATTTTTTAATGATGTCATATTTCTTATTTCATTATTCGTTTTAATTTTATTTTTTTTCATATTTGTTATGTTATTAGCTCTTATATTAACAAAAGTTTTATTAACTCTTTAACATAAGTCTTATTAGCTTTTATGTTAACATAAGTTAACATATACTATGCATTTATATTTAGCTAGTGTTATGGCAACAAAGGGGGGAAGCCGCATAACAATTACAAAAATAAAATGTGAAGTTCGAAAGATTTTAAGATAAGCACCTGACAAAGTCAATGTTGAAGAACGTGGGCGTCGTATAGAATTATATAAAAATAGACATGTTTAAAAGTTGACTGTTTAAAAATATATAGTATCTTAACTTATAATTGTGTCTTTATTATTTCTTTTTTACGCCTTAAGTCCTTCGAATATTTATTATTTGTTTTAATATAAACTTTCGTTTATTTTAGGAAAAAATCTATTGTGTGTAAATGTGAATACACACATAAAATAGATTTTTTCATGACTTTAATCGAAAATAAATATAACGGAAGTTAATAAATATAACGAATTGATATCGTTCGATGTAAGATTGACATCGTATTTACATCAAAATGGTGACATCGCTCTAATGTCTGCTTTTTATAGTCGCCCAACATTTCGATTTCCAACATTGTTTCAACGTAAAATCCGACGTTAATCCGACGTTGTTCCGACGTAGTTTTGCCCACTGGAAAGTTATGTTTATAACAAATTTCATAAAAAGCAGAGATATCGGCAAAAATATAATCCAAAGTACTGATTCTTGTTCAATGTTTAAAACTATTTAATTTTTTACTTATATCCTTATAATTTATTTATACTAAAAGTGTAGTTAAAAAATCTAAAATCAGACACTTCAAAGAAATAACAAAACTGAACATTCAAAAAAAGGTGTGTTATAAAAACTTTTGTAAACTCCTATGTTAGCGTAGTACATCTGATTAAGAAATGCTCCAAATTTCAGTGACATTATTATTTTCATTACAGATGTCAACAACTATTTGTACATTTTGAAGAAAAAAACAATATTGAGATGAACAAAATTTATACTCTAATAAAAAATACAAGTAAATATTTTCAGATTTTTATAGCTAAACTAATTCAAAACAAATTGCAACAACGCACTCCAAAAAACCAAAACTCATGAGATTATATTTAGTTGTAAATATTATATAATATACAGAATATTAATTGTTAGATCAAATTTCCACATTTTTTCATTTCCTCAGATACTTTTAAATTCCTAAAGAAATTTTATCATAATGCGTTTAATAGACCGTTCAGAATACCGAAAGCGTATTTTTATATTTAAACAAATATTTGCTTTAAAAAAAGCTTTCAAAAAATCTAATCGTGTTGATTGGAAAGATATTATAACTTTATTTTAAACTTTTATTTGAATTTATTTTTAATTCTATGCACGGGAAAATAGGGAAAGTTCGTGTATTTAGGACCACCTTACTTTATTTGAAAACTATAAAGCTCGAAGTTATGCTTCTCAGTCAGGTGATTGGGTATAAAAAAAGGTTTTTAATCCTATTTTGACTCTCAGAAAGCATTGCCACGGCAACTTATCATGTTGGCCTAGGGCTGTATAGTTTGCTTGTACCTAGGACAATATGCGCGTTTCTCTGATGAAGAAATTGTTTGATCATTTTCAAGATCAACTTCTAATTTTGAGGTTGTTGCTTTTTTCCAGTGAGCAAATTAAGGTTTTACGTTTTTCATAAAATTCTGACCTGATTATTTATTGTGAATGCTATAGTTATAACAAATATACATTATAAATTCTATATAGTTATAAACTTTATGCATTGTAAAGGAGTATTTTATATAATAAAATTTAATGCATAGTAAGTTAATATAAGGAAATAAATATAAATAATTAGTTATTTGTTTATTTATAATGTAAAGCCTGTTACGGTTTACTTTATATAAATTTTTAAAATAATTTTTGTAAAAATCTTGATCGCATAAATTTAATCACATAAATCGCATAAAAAGGTCAAACAAATTTGTTTGACATTTTTATGTGATCAAGGTTGTGTAGCATGATCCATTTGTATATTTTGTATATTTTGAGAAGAATTTTAAAATCTTGAGTCAGCTTAAGCAGATTCAATAATTATTACATCAGGACCATTTCAAAATGAAAATATTCAATAAATAAGTTTTAAAATATGAATCTATAACTTGCTTAAATTTTTTTTATATATTTTTTAAATGTCAAATGAAATACTTTTCTGTTAAATTATCAAAATAGACCTGTCTCAATAAATGTTTTTTTTTTTATTCAATATAAACTACTGATGACGTAATGCTGAAAAACTGCTGTAGAGAGTAAGAAGTTTAAACTGTGTCGAAAATTATTGTTAATTAATCAGATAAATATTTTTGTTATATCAATAATTATTTTTACATAAATGAATTATATTATAAAAAAATACTATAAAAAAATATTATAAAAAAATTTTTTATTTAATTTGCTATTTAAATAAATTTTTAAACACCAAATAAAATGTTTTGCAGCTGCAAAGTTGTTTAGGTTAGAAAAAATTTTAGTATCTTTATTTTCAAGTTTCTTAGCTGCTGCTGTGAGTAAAAGTTTTTCTACTAGGTCACTAAATGATTTTAGTAGGAATTGACAAATCGTTAAAGATATTAAATCCGCTGCAAATGCATCATTGGTTAACATATCTCTATGTTCATTTGCATTTAATGATTTTATGGAGCACTTTCATATTAAGATTTGTAATTTTTACATGATTGGGTTGACAGATTCTAAATCAAGTTGTTTAGTAGATCTTATCTATATAAGTAGAGTTTTTTTTGTAAGTTTATTGTTTAGAACTGTTGGCGCTTCTTCAAAGTTTGTTTGATTCTAAATAAGTGAAAAAGATTTTGTACCACTTAAAAAAAAAAGAGATTTAATTTATCTGAATCTGATACATCAGCTTTTATGATATATGTTTGTAACATTCTTTTTTAATATAAATGTTCTTTTTTCGATGGTTCAGCTTGAAGTATTTTTTGGAATATTTTATGATCCATTGTGTTGATAAGATATATAGAAATATTGTTGCAAACCTAATCAATTATAACAATCATAAATAGTATGCATAATATAAATATATAATGACATATCATTAGCATCAAGGATATTATTATATAAAAAATCAACAAATAATAATAAAAGACAGTAAAAATAAATAGTTGTAAAAAAAGTAATATTTGAATGATGATTATTTTATAAAAAAGGTCTTAGATTTTAGCAATTATACTAAATATAAAATATACTGGTATATATAAATATATGAAGGAAACCTTAGATTTAGCAATCCATATGGATTTGAATAGTGTCATTTTATTTGACTAAGGAAAGTATATTGTATCACTATCCTCATTATTCATAACAGAGTTTCTGTGTAAACTTTTTTTTTACTAGATAATGCAGGAAAAACAACAATTTTATATCAATTGTAAGTTTTTTTTATAAACAAAAATTTAAATTTGAAACAATAGTTTTTAACTTAAGTTGACTTCATACAGGTACAACAACAATTGTTTTTAATTTTCATATAAGTTGACTTACAAGTTGATAGTTGTACATACAGGTATAACAACAAGTTTTAAAATACAACAACATACAGGTAAAACAACAATGTTTGTAGTACAAAAACACACAGGTACAATTACAAGGACTCTCCCAAGCTAAAGGTCTGTTAGGCTTATATAAGATTAACAAATAAAAATAATGTTTGATATCCATTAAATTAAAAAAATTCAAAAATGTTTTCAGACATCAAGTTTTTATAATTTTTTTCTATTTCAAAATCTTATAGAAATCATTTTATTAGTGGTATTCTATGATTGTTTGATTTTTTTCTTATTTTTGCTTTGTGGTTATTTTTGATATTTAGAAGACCCTCAAAACACTTCAAAGAAATGCATAGTATAAAAATTAGCGTGGTTTCTTAATTGATACATAAAATATTATCTTCTTGATTGATGCAGAAAATATTTTCTGAAGACAGTTATGCATTATGTGTGTTATTGTAATTTAAATACATGCCAATAATCCAAAATTTATTCTGCTTGATGATTTTTGGATCGTTGACATGTAATCATCGTTGACATGATCTTCGATTTTGAAAGATTCTGTTTAAATGAAAAGGTTTATAAAGTGTGCTTGACTATTTAACGATTTTTAATAATGACGGTTGAATGGTGAGAAACTTATTTTAATGTTTTTAAAAATTGATTCGTTTTTTTTATGAAAATTTTAAGAAATATTGTATTTTTACAATTATAATATACGTTAGTATACGTCAGAGCCGATTAGAACTAGGATCTATAGTGGGTTAAGGCACTTTTTCGAAAGAATTTAACTAAGTTCATGTTAATACCGATGAGCAAAATCAATCTTAAGACTTTAAAATGGTTTTTTTTAGACTCATTATCAGGGTTAGTAAAATGTTTTTGAAAATTATATAATAAAGAGAAAAGTTTCATTAAATGTTGAAAAAAAACTCGAAGCAATAAAAGTTATAACATCTAAGGCTCTTATTTGTACATAGTACTTTTTCATTTCAAATAAAAGATTTTGAATAATTTGTAAACTGCCTTAACTACACCGAGCATGCTCTTCTAACCGAAAAGGCAATAAAAAAAAGGAACCTGAACGTATTGTCATCCAGGTTCTAGCGAATTATTTATTCCATGAGGTTTACTTAATAGTATTAAGTCTACTTTATTAGAACTAAAGTTTTTTTACAAAACTGTAAGCTATAGAAGTATTGAAAACATGTTTTATTGATGACATATAAATACACTTTGTGTACTTTTACGTGCTCGCCTTTGACTATTGATATAACAGCAAAATATTCGATATAATGCGAGGAGAGTGATTTGCAGTAGATAATGAATAGAATAAATGTTTAAAGTGAAGAAAACTATTTATTCCTTCCTCTTAAATCCAAAGTATTTTTACATTGCAATATGCTGCGCTGTTGAATTGGATAACACCGATACATCATTCATAGAAGAATTATCTGTTTCGTTCTGCAATTGTGATTTTTCTGCGGTTGGGTTTGATTCAGTTGACAAACATTGATTCTCCTCTAATGCTTTATCAGGAGATCGGAAAAAAATAGTCAATTTTGGGAATTTTTTTAATGTTGTTTGCTGTCTGTCACTTTTATTTTTTTTTTCAGTATGCGTTTTAAATTTCCGCTTAGATTTTTTTTGTTCATTATTGTCCAATTATTGCAAAAATAATTGTAGTATTAATTTATAATTTATTAGTGGTAAAAAAAAAGAAGTAAAAAACTAATATTTTAAAAAATATATAAAATATTTAATACATATTTACTATCAAATATAAAAAAAAATAAAAAAACAAACAACTATTAATTTGCGGCCGTGGCGCAGTGGTTACAACGCTTGCTTTATAAACAAGAGATCGAGGTTCGAAACAAGCTCTGGACATATTTTCGCGTCACGGTAAGGAAGGAGGCGTGAACTTCCTGCTTAAATGCACTTCCGCGGTGCTCTGTGACAAGATTGTTAGTTTTTCTTGGGGCATCTAAATAACACACACACAAAATAATAATAATAATAATTTAAGGCATATTATTTGTTTTCAAACAAAATAAAAAATCAAAATGTCAATTCGCATTACTTGATAATTAAACAGTTTAGGATTTAACTTGTATCTGTTTATTTCACTTTTTCAAGTAAGAGATCGTCCATAAATTTCACTAATAAGCAAAACAAAAAAGGTCAAAAGTTTTCCCTCGCAGAGCCTTTAGATAAATTTAACGTTGTGTAATTTATGGACGATCTCTAAGTAAAAAAAGATAAAAATTGTTCGAACTTTTTTCCAATACAGTTCGGACGTGTTCAAGTTCGAACTTTTTTTTTAAAGTTTAGAGATTTTATTTTTAGTTACATGAGAAATAAATGTAAGGGGCCATCCATAAAGTACAAACGCAGGTATAGAGGAAGGGGGGGGGTTTCCAAAAGCGTACGAAAGCGTACAAGGGGAGGGGGAGAAGGGGTGTTACAGACAATGCGTACGTACGGTTTAACTATCTCTCCTAAACATAACATGATTTTTTTTTTTTTTTTTAAACATAGAATTTCACGTATGTAACAAATCAGAATTGTGTTTATTGTTCTCACTTCAGTTACAATTTTTTTTTAATAATTTCTTTATAAATAAGGAGGAGGAAAAAAAAAGAAATCGAGTTTATATTAAAAAAATGAAAAATGCGTACGTACGTGGGGAAGGGGTTTTCAAAAACGTATAGGTTTGTATAAGGGGGAGGAGGGGGTCCTAAATCAGTCCTAAATTTAATTGCGTACATACTTTATGGATGCCCCCTAATTAATTTGATTAAAATTGTCAAAATTAATTTCATTAGAAACTAATAAAAATAATTTAAAATGCCAAGTCATATATAATAGAAAAAATAATTTAAACGTTAAAAATCGGGGGTCCCACTGTACCCTAATTTTTTGGGGCCTAGGCGCCTAGAAACCCGGGTTAATCCGACAATGGTAATGGGCTTTGCCAGCAATTTTTATGGACTAATGAAGTCATCTAACTAGATAATTAGATGCAATTCAAGCAAACAAAGTACATTTGTTTATTTGAATGATACTGACTCAGAAATCAGCTTTATACGCAAAGATATTAAACGGTGAAATCCACTTATGCCGTTTGCACAAGTGGATTTTACCGTTTATTCATACCCCGTCCTAGTCCATATCCAGCTTAGGCAGCCAATGCGGAGCCAGAACGTTAAGAACAACATAAGAAAGTTTCGCGTTTTAGAACAACATATGAAAGTACTCTTATTTTATTAAACCTATTGCTACAATGTGGCATACAATAGTACACTTTCTGTTGTTTTAATTTTAATCAAAGAGTCGGACGGGGTAACTTCAGAGTTATCGGAAAATAAGAAACTTTATTCATCCAGATGAAAGTCTATATTATTTTCTAGATATATTTATTAAAAATAAATGTTATTAATATTCTTTGAAATTTAAATTCTTTAAATTGATTTTATCTGTAGTATATATTAAGTTTTTTAAAACCCTGCAACTTGTTTGATGATTACGAAACCCTGTAACTTGTTTGATGACTACGAAACCCTACAACTTGTTTGATGATTACGAAACCCTGCAACTTGTTCGATGATTACGAAACCCTGCAACTTGTTTGATGATTACGAGACCCTACAACTTGTTTGATGATTACGAAACCCTGAAACTTGTTTGATGATTACGAAACCCTGCAACTAGTTTGATGATTATAAAATTGATTATATATAATCAATATGTTTTAAATAAAATAATAAAAATATACATAGTTTTTTAGACTATATTACAAATTCTACTTATAAAGGTAAATAAAGGTATAATTTTCTACCTTTAAGGTAGAAAATTATACCTTTAAGATTAAAAATTAAACTAAAAATGTTCATATATAATTAGCTACCTTGTAAGTATAATGCTACCTAAATGGGTATAATTTCCTACCTTGAGGAATAGGATATGGGATATACCCTTAAAGTTATTTATATATATTTTTTAGTGTGCAGTTGGAACTGCGAAGTAACGCTAATACATTTAAAAGTTATGCTTAAATTTAAAAGTTATGATTAAATTAAGAAAAAAGATCTTAATAAATAAGAGGTCTTGATAAATAAGAATTATTTTAGTTTATAAGGGGGGCGGTTTGCTTAAAATGTAAAAAAATTTTTTAAGCAAAACTTTTCTTCTTTTTTAGATGTTTTTGGGTGTTTTTTGAAAATTTTTTAGCTTATTATAGTTATTATAATTTCCTCATTCGTTTAATAAAAATTTTAAGATTAAATTCTGAAGTTAAATTAATAACTTGAATAGTATAGAGCTGAAAAATTAAAAAAATATAAATACAAAATTTGATATTAAACTTTTACATTTTTCGAATGTGAAAGACTTTGCAAAAAAAAAATCAACTCTAGTAGCTATATTGATTCTCTAAACAATGTCTATTATTATAAACAGTGCTTTTTTCCTTAAAACAACCATTCCATGAATTAAAGTTCGTAACACAAATATTACTATGAAACATTGTTAATGGGTATAACAAAATTTGACGAATGAATGTTGAATAGCATACCAGAAACTGATAACTGAGTTGCTTTTTTTAACCTATGATAACGATATTTCTGAAGTGAAACATTCTGCGAAAGCATAACGTATAAGTGCCACCTGTTTATATTTCGACAGCGACGCAACTTTTCCGCCGGTATAGAACCTTTTTCAACCAACTTCATCACTGAATCTTAACAAACATAAAGGTTTTTTTAAATTAATGATTAAAATTCAAAATTAAATAGATTTATTTACTTAAAATTTTATACATTAATTCATACAATTTTTTCACTAAGTATTACTTTACATAATTTAAAAAAAAAAAAAAAAACTGCGTAAATTTCGAAAAAGGACCCTAAATTTACAAATGAATCCTATGAAATTTGTAAATTTAATAGTTATGTATTTTTCTAAAAAAAATTTTCTGAAATAATGACAAAAACGATTAAAAACGTTTTTGATAATTAACGAAGTTCACTTTTTAAACAATTTTATTTTTTAACTTAGATTAGTAAAACCTAAGACATAATATTTTTTGAAAAAATTTTTATATATGACCCCTTATAACTCTTTTTAAAACGTTTTAAACTGGGACTATTTACAAAAAACTTCAAAATTAAAGTCATTTTTTTTTAAATTATGACAAGAAAAAAAATATTTGAAAGGTATTAGTAATATGAAAAAGCATTGTTTAAATTTTCAAAAATTTAGTTTTTGAATTGCTTGTTTATTTTTTATTCTGATTCACTCCCATAATGGCTGCAAGCAACCACTAATAAGTTGGGAGTTATTAGAAAAAAAAGAACAGAGTTTTAGAGACGTTTGACAGAAAGACTTAAAAAGTTAAAGGTTGTATAAGTCAAGAAAGCATGAAGATGGGAGAGCGTTTCAAAGGATTGAACTGTGAGAAAAAAAACTAGAAGAATAAAAGTTTTTAGAGCACGCAGGGACAGATACAATAAAAAAATGAGACTTTGCTGAATGAAGAATCACGCAAGAATGAGTTCTAGTTGGTGGACTACAGATTTAGTTGTAGAAGAACTTTTCGGCGGTGTTCTATTGCACAAAAAATATACTCTTTCTGCTCTTCATCTTTGGTAATAAATTTTGCATAGTCTTGAATTAGTTTAACAACTCGTTCTGCTGTATCATTTACAGATTTCAATGATTTATTATGCTCAAACATGTGCTAAAAATTTGTGTTAGCTTTCCAAAACTTTGGGGATTGGGCTAACCTACCACCATCTTTGTTTGAATATCAAAATAAATTTAGAATGTTGCTTCATTTTGGTTCAACTAAATCAGTTATTCAAGTTCTTGGTTTAAAAAAAAGAAACAGTTTTCTCTTATATTTTTAGGAATTATTTGATCAGTTTTAGCTTTATCGTGATCAGACACGTTATCAGAAAATAGTGAGAGACATTGATTTGGTCCTTTTTAGTTTTTCTAAAAGTGGTATCTGAACTTAATAAAACTTTAGGCCATATATCATTTTAAAAGTGTCTAAATGGCTTGTAATTTGAAGATCGACATTCTCCAAAAATTGTTAAGTAAACAAAGGAAAACTTTTTTAAGATATAGTGTCTGCAAATACACTAAATTAACTTTATATTGCAGTGTTCTTCAATTAATTTTGCAGAACCATTTATCCATCCTGAATTTAATGGAGTTGTGTCAATAATCATTGCTACAAGTGTTTTCCTTAGCTTTACCGCATCTATGTTTGCTGTTAATCGCAGATTTTTTCTATGACAGATTCAGCCTATCATCCATTAAAGAAAATTTAGGGTGATTAATGGCTGATAGGTTTTAGGTAAATTTTTTTTCTTTTTTTGTTTATTTTTTATGGAAATTTTGGTTCATTATCAAATTCTGGCACTTTTTTATATTTTCTTTCCTTGATTTTTTTTTTTAATAACTTTTACTTTTTGTGATTTTTTTGCTCCTTTTTTTTTTACTTTTAGTCTCTTCAATTAACGCTGATATGTCAGAAAATCTAATTCTAATATTTTACTATTAATATCACAAGAGGTATCTTTTTTTTGTAATTAAATCTTCTGCATTTGATGCTGCAATATCAAACAAAGATGAAAACTTATAAAACTAGTAAAACTCAAAAGTTGAGCCGTAAAATATGTTTTTTTACATTTTTAATCAAGTATCAGATTTAGTATCATTCTAACAGTATTTTGTTTTTCTTTTGTTTGAATTCTTGTTATTTTCCAAAATACATTTTGGTTTTTTACAAACTAGAAGATGTAAATTCTTTTGGCCAGTTAGTTTTAAATCAAACCAAGATATATAAATAATAGCGCAAAAACCTCTCCATTAGTTCGTAATTCGTAATTTCACAACAATTTTATCAAACATCTTATCATTTTTTCATCAATTTAATACTGCTTATATCAAATTAAATATTTTCATATATATGCTATTATACCTATAGATGTAAAAAGTTGATTAAAATTGTATTAATATAAAATAATTTAAAAGAAAAAAAATACATTTATAGTGAAAATTTTGCTTGTTTCATATAGTTTTTTATAATTTAACAATTGTTGATAATAATAAACATTTTGATTCTCAAGTTAAACGTTTTACTTTTATTTACTAATATCATCTGATACATAGTGTTAAATTATAATGGGATCAAAGTTGATACAAAACATGTTTAATTGAAGCATTATATTTTAATATTTAGCCTAAAATTACTGTTTAATGTTTAATAGTTTTTTAAAAAGTAGACAGCAGAGGGGGTAAAACTTAAAAAAAACAGTTTTGTAATAAAGTAATAATAAGCGCACGGGATAGGGTCATTAAAAACATACAGGTGATTACAAGGGGAAAAGTTTGAAAAAAAAATTTGAAATTTGATAGATAAATATTTACAACCTAAAAAAAAAATTATGTTATTAAACTAATTAAAAGGTCATATAAAAAAAAAAAGGAAAGAAAATTATTTAGTTTTTTCTATCAATAATACAAAGAACTAAAATAAGAAAGTTGGAACTAACTCTTGTTACTTTAGGGAAGTCTCAAAGTAGTTGTTTTACTGCCTACGAACTTTATGAATGACCCTTGTATAAACTCTTTAAAGATTAATAGACAAGTTGTTAATAAACAAAAGTTTGTTTACAAAAAGAAAGTTGTTTTTTATTAGAATTCACAAACAGGTTTTATAGTTATATAAATTCTTTATCACATTTCCTTAAGTTAATTATTTAGTTATAAAAACAATTTATAAATAGATAAATAACTACAATTTAAAAAACAAATATGTAATAAAAAAAATATGTTATATTTTTTTTTTTACAAATCACTAACATATAGTTAAAGTTGTCTAATGGCTTGAAGTGGTTAATAAATAGCAAAAAGATACAAAAACAAAGATACGAAAAATACAGGTTCAAGCAATACAAATGACTTTGATTAGAAATATGCAGCCTTATGGCCATCTTTAATTATTGATAAAGACATGTTTACTTAACCAAAAAAATAATTTTCGATTCAGGAACAAAGTATCAGTATGATGAGAGTTCTGAAAAGTGGCATTTCACTGTGCAATTTTTTTTAAGAAGTATATGATATGCATTGATATGTGCAATTTTTTTTTAAATGTTCATTAGCTAGTTAATTACAAACATAAAAATTCTTTTTTTGAAATCGATTATTCTCATATCTGAAAATCAAGTTAATAATTGAAGCAAATAGCAATTGGAAAAACATGTCTAGTTTTCTAGCTGATCATGAATCGTTTATTAAACACATTCTGTCAGCATTTAATTTATGATAAAAAACCGATTGAAAAAATGAGAGACAACTGACGAGGAAACAAAAAAACTATACTAAAAAGAGATTCAGCTCTAAGAGTACAAATACATTTATCATTTATACATTTAAGCACTTAATGTACCAATATATTTATCAAAAAAATTTAGCATTAAAAGCAAAAAGAGTATATAAACTAGGAAACAAATTCAACCAAATGCCCAAATTAAATAAAAGGATTGTCTTTTTTTGAAAAAAAATGCAATATATAAAATTAAAACAATAAAGTTTTGAAGTTTTAAAAGTCAAAACATGTATAAAGATTAATTAATTACAGTAATATAACCATATTTAAACCTTGCTGTAACCCTAACCCTAAGTCGGACCTTGATGCTGACCCAAACCAAACCCTCAGTCGATGTAGCAGCACTCCGCTACGAGTCAGGCTATTTGATAGTCGTGATTAAATTAACAGATAAACTAAAATGTACACAAAAAATTAATGGATACAATAAGTAAGTTAAGTAAGTGTTCGTTTTTTTTGTAAAATCTGTCCCGGTATTTATATATATAAATATATATATATACATACATATAAATATATATATATACATATATACATATATATATATATATATATATATATATATATATATATATATATATATATATATATATATATATATATATATATATATATATATATATATATATATATATATATATATATATATATATATATATATATATATATATATATATATATATATATATATATATACAACCCTCGTACTTAGAAAAAATAAGGTCGGCAATAAATTGCCGACCTCAAACTGTAAGAGGTCGGCTTTAGGTCGGCAAATAAAATTTAACACAAAGAGGTTACCATAAAACATATAAACAAGATCAGCAATTTATTGCCAACCTAAGACACTTTTAGGTTGGCAGTTAGATCGACAATGCCGAATGCCATCCCTAATTGCGAGGGTTGTATGTATATATATATATATATACGTATATATATATATATATATATATATATATATATATATATATATATATATATATATATATATATATATATATATATATATATATATATTTATATACATAGATGATACTACATTTCATGCATTTACCATGTTGTTAGTAAAGTAATGATTTCTCTCTTCAAAATTTTAGTTTCCTCTCTTTGCAATTTTTGATTTCATTCTTAGTTTTTTTTATTTATTAGTTGTGCCCTCATAAACAGTAATTTAATAATGATGGGGCATACATCTGTGGTACTATTTTCACAATACCAATAGAAATTCTATTGTTTTAATATCGTGTGCAATTTTATTTTTAATTTTTATGTAGTGTTTAAAAAGTCATTGTTTTTAAAAAAATTGATTGGCAGAAAGTTTGTCTGTTAACTCTTGCTAATAATTCTAATTTATGGGAAAATGATTAGAAATTTTCTAGAGCTATGACTTTCCATTACCATTACCTACTTGAACGTTGAACTAATCATGTGATGCTTCATTATTTTGTGACAAGATATCCAATGTTATATCATGAGAAAATTTTACAATTTGATAAGATAAGATGAGATGAGATAAGATTGAAATAAAATTGATTGAATTCTTTAACAGTTAAAAGTATACAGATTGAGTATTGAAGTGAAAACTTCATTAAAAGTTTTAGTAATCAGAAAAATAGACAAGAAAAGAAAATATATTGTGAATGATTGCTACAGTTTTTAATATTTTACTGATATTTGACTGAATGTCAATTAAAATTTGAAACTACAATCAGATGCCATGCAATTCCTATAAGATAACCCGTTCTTAGTGATTTTGGCTGCAGTCAATTTTAATATCCAAGTATTTTACACACTCACTGAATTTAAATACTTTATTTTCAAGCTTGACACATCTGTTAGGATATTTCTCAGTGATACTTAAACATTTTACCTTGGAACTTGTAGTCAACATACTTATTGACTTACTAGCATTTAGTTTCAATCCATTTTCAATAAACCAGATACTAAGTACTTCAAATTCATCATTTAACATTATTATCAATTCTTTAACTTTAATGGAGACTAAAGTGTAATCTGTAAAGAGAACAATGTTTACAAATATCTTGTAGCACTGCTAATATCATTCATCTGGTAGCACTGCTAATATCACTGAATAATACTGAATTAAATGAACTCTTCAAAATGCCTTTTAACAGGAACATTGTTGGGTGTTTTTTGGGATTACATGATAAAATAAAGGAGAAGAAAATAAGAATAGAAACTATTGCAAAGGAACTGAATTTACTTTGGGATAAATCTAATTTTCCTGTTGTATCAATGCAACGTGTCCACCCAAAAATTGCAAATCTAATTGATGCACATGTGAGATACAGAAAGAAAAAGGGTAAGAGATTTCTGGAAGAATTAGCAAGCCTCTTTGATATAACCAAAACTGATGGAAATTGGTTGACCTCTGAAGACAAACAACTTTATCTACAGCAGATTGAATCTCATGGTACTATTGGATACACAACTGCGAAGCTTGCACTAGCCTCAACAATTCATCCATCTAAACGCTGAAAAGTTATGCAATCTTCAGTTGAGAAAAAAATCATGGTAACTTTAGATGAATCTGTGCAAGAAACTGATGCTGAAATATCACCTGGTGATGATTTTATACTTGAAGTGGAAACAAAGAGGAAAAAATATCAAAAAACTAAGGCTGCTGCAAATCTGGTTACCAAATATTCTTTATCTACAAGACAATCATCCAGAGTCTGTTCTAGTCTAGCAGCTGAATGTTCTGCTAAGTTACCCACACTATCACAAACTGGAATATGGAAAAGAGTAGTCAGAGATGGAATTAGAAAGGCTGCTGAAATAAAACGCATTCTTCAGCAGGAAAATGATTTCTGTTTGCATTTCGATGGAAAGAAACTGTCATCTAAAGAATATGATGTTGTTTGCTTGCAAAATCCTTCAAGGAAATTGAATTTAGGTATCATCATATGTGAATCTGGTTCGGCTGCAATTATTTTCTGGATTGAAGAAGCTCCTAGATGACTTCGATACGTGGAAGAGTATTAAAATGATTGTGTGCGATACAACAGCAGTCAACACTGGTAGCAGAAATAGAATAATCACTCGGCTTTATAAAGAATTCGAAAGAAAATGCATTATTAGAATTCGAAAGAAAATTTATTATAAGACCACAGTACATTGGGTGTCAACACCACATCCTTGACTTGGTTCTTCAACCTTTACTTGACTTCTGTGTTCCAACAGTCTCACAGAAACCAGATATAAACTATGAGTTTGTTGATAACATTTGGAGTCAGTATGAGAACCTTCAGGCAAAATATACAGGTGAAATCGAAGTACTTGCTTCTGAAAATGCTGGATGGAGGAGTGATTTCAAGTTTCTATTCGAACTTTGCGAGGCTTACAAAGTGTACAAGAAATGCGAAATGAAACACTAGAGCAACATATGCTCTACTAGCTTATTTTCTTCTAGAAGAACATCATCAGCAGCTGAGCAGTATCTGTACTTTATATTAACTGTATGGGCATCAGCGTGGTTCTCTAATCAGCATTTCACTGAATACAGTTTTGAAGAATTTCATTCTGCTGTTTCAGAATTTGATTTCCAGAAAGCAACAAAGTGTTTCCTAACGCATTGGGTAAATCAGCCTTCAGTCATTGACATTCCATGATCAAACGTTGTGGCTGAAAGAGCAGTCAAAATAATGGAAAAAAATTACACTACCTGCAAAAGTGACAAGTACTTTAATGCTAAATTCTTAAACTCAAATTTACAATTGTGAACACTCAACAGTGACTAAAGTAAGCATATATTCATATGGATGTTTAAAATTTCTATTTTACAATATATAACTTACGTGAATTAAGCATTGTAGCTATTTATTCAAGGGTGCGCCAGGTTTTTTAAAATTTAAACAAAAATTAAGTCATATTGACTATATTTAGATAAACATTCATCATTTGCCATCCCAGGAATCTTGATTGAAAAAAAGTCATATACCTATTGTATACCCTATTGGAAACAATTAGTTCACCGTATAATATAAATCTGTGTGTGTTGTAATTAACAAATATATAAATGAATAACTTAAAAATTATCTTAAATAGCATAAAATGTAAAAAATATATATTACTTTCAAAATAGACATCCTCATCTCTAGAAAATTTGTTACAGCATTGATCTGTTAACAAACGAATAAAACATTGAACAACAGGATTTGCATGAAAATGCTCCAATAAAATGTAACCAATGTAAGCCATGTAACCTAATATTTAAAAAATCATTGACAATTTTAAACTTTTAAATTTTAAACTACTAAAACTGTATATGTATAATCTTTGAAAGTTATTTTCTTGTTATATGATAAAATGTATGTGAAATTCAATAACTACGGCTGGGTAAAAAAATTGTTGAAAAATTACATATTTATTATTTTGTTTTTATTTTAATATATATTATTATATATTATTCAATATTTCACTTATCTGAAAAAGCGCCATCAGATATAATAAATAAAAATTGTTACAAAGAAAATCGATATAATAAAAACAAACCATTAAAAAGATAATATTAAAAAAAGGATGAAAAAATACAAAAAAGGATTTTTTTTCCCCAAAAAATCTTTGCTTCTAACAAGACTGCAAGCAACCACTACTAGAGTTGGAAGTTACTGGCAGAAAAAAGATGAAGTTTATAGAGCAAGATAAAAATTGAAAAATGATTTAAAAAATTGCTAATTATATGAATCAGGAAAGCAAGATGAAGAAAGGGAATACCAAAGATGTTTGAGGAAAAAAACTAGAAAAATGAAAGTTTTTGGAGCACTCAGGAATAATCATAGATAAAGGATAAGACTTAATTAAATGAGGAGTAACACGAAAATCAATTTTAGTAGATAGCAAAATAGAAGCTAGCTCTTTAAAGCAGTGCGTATTATAGTATTTGTAGAAAAGAGAAAGAGAAGTAACATTACAATGATGTGAAAATGGAGGCCCTATACTCTTTTTAATTTAAATTAACAATCTTCCAGATATTCTCACATGGCATTATTTGCTGATGATACTAACATTTATTCTTGTATTGATAAGAAGCCAACACTTTCTGATTGCTTGGAGGGGGTATTTGAGCTTGAAAAGGATCTTACTTCTGCTATAGCATGAGTGTCACATTGGCTAGTGAACTTTAATTCAGATAAAACTCAATTTGTTTCAGACAATCATTATCACAATAATTTAGATATTCCTATATTTATGAATGATGATGTACTCAACAAGTCATCTACCTTTAATTAAAACTAAAATTAGCATCTGCTAAGGTTGCATCTACTAAAATTAGCATCTGCTAAGGTTGCATCTCTTTATCGAGCTTGACATTTTCTTACTCTGGATTCTATTCTTTATCTCTATAAATCTCAAATTCATCCTTGTATGGAACACTGTTGCCATATCTGGGGCGAAACCTCTTATGGTACCCTTTCTCTTTTAAAGAAACCTTCAACCAATATCACATCATCATAATGTTGCTTCTCTTTCTCTTTTTTGCAAATACTTTAATGGGCACTGCTCTAAAGAGCTAGCATCTCTTGTGCCATCTACTAAAATTCATTCTTGTATTACTTGTTATTCAATTAAGTCTCATCTTTTATTTGTGAATATTCCTAAGTGCTCCAAAAACTTTTATTTGTCTAGTTTTTTTTCTTGAACATCAGTTCTTTGAAGTTCGCCTCCTTTATCTTGCTTTCCTGATTCATATAATTTGCAATCTTTTAATTTGTCTGTCAATCGTTATCTTGCTCTACAAACTTCATCTTTTCTTTTCCAGTAACTTCCAACTCTAATAGTGGTTGCTAGCAGCCTTGTTGGAAGCAAATGTCACAAAAGTCTCAAACAAAAACTATTCAAGCGGAACACTTAAGCTTAACAAAGCGTGTAGCGTTTGGCATAAACATTGTTTATCAACCAACCTGTTTATTAACCGTAGATGCTTCAAGTCTCTGCTTCAGATATAAAAACAGGAAGAAGACAAGCAATTTATATATAGTCGAGGTATATAGTTGGGGATATAAATGGAGATATAGTTAAAGTAGAGAAAAAGTTGTGGTCAAAGTTAAGATTAATAAGTTGAAAAGTTTAGGCTGAGATCGATGGTCAGTCAGAAGAGTTGGTGAACCATAAGAAGCAATAACAGACTAATTAATTACAAGACAAACTGTTTAAAGAATATTATAAATTGTATTTGTATATGTTAATTATTTATATTTGGGAAACGATAGAAAGTTTTACATTTAATAGAAGTTACTGTGTAACATTTGAAGTAATCTATTACAGATCATTCGTACAAATCTATTACATAATATATTTTTGGGAAATCAACCGCATAACATTTGGAGGCACTGCTCGGATCACAATTGGATTTTATCTCATCTTGGGCCAATCAATTCACCTATAGAAGAAAAAATTAGTTTTTGTTCATTCCGTTATTTTGCTTGCACTAGATTACTCGAATGGAACCACAACCAGTATTACTAACTGTGATATCTTTGTTGTTCACTTATGAGCCATCTAAGCTCTGGTAAAATATGCTTGTTTACTGAACTAACTGATTGTTCAGAAGCAGCCAATAACTCTCCTACCTCTCTCAAGGACCCCTCCTCTGATTCTGCTGACACATTAGAACTGTCCGATACCAATCCATTTAAACAAAATGACAGCCCCTCTCCAAGGAAAAGTGCTAATATGTCCCTGAAACAAATTCTATATGGCTTAACAACAAAACCTATTCAGGAATTACAACCTAAACCTTTCAAAGGTACAGAGACATAAGATATCACCTAATGGCTAACTATTTTTGTCGCATACCAATACTCCACAACCAATAGATAGACATGAGGGAAATTACACTTCTATTATATTTAAAAGGTAGTGCTTTAGTGTACTATGAAACCCTTCCTGCTCACAATAAGAATGCTTTTTTCCAGCTTCAAGAACAATTACGACAATATTACAACAATGCAAATATTGCATGGAGCCACAATATTTAACACAAGATACTGACCTTACCCATTAACACCCTAGATAAATTGAATCAGCAGCTTGGTATAAATGGCAAAACTAAACTAAGTTTGTTTATTAAAGGTTTGAAACCCAACTTACGCAATACATTAAAACTGTAACAACCTGTCAACTCTGCAACTTGTCACCTGTTGATAGTTGTCAACTATCAACTATCAAGCGGCAGTGGCGTTTGCTACGTTTTTGACGTCAGATTCAACCATCTCTAGATTGGAAGCCAAGCTTGATGCACTCCCTTAATCCCCCAAAACAAACAGTTGTGACTTCTAGCTACTGTGAGCACCGAAACGTAAATCAATGTATTGGTGAATTACAATCAGAAATAGATTCATTTAAGCGGAACAATAACCATCTTACCCAGCACAGAAGATTTCGTCCAACTGGATGTAACTTACATTACAGTGATGGGCAAGTTATATGTGACCGATGCCTAAAAGTAGGACACCCAAAGGTAGTGCTCCTACCAAACTTTTCCATTATCAGGGAAAAATCATTATCAACATATATCGATGCAACCTAACTGCTGGAACCATGATACACAAAACTCAACTTCATTTTGCAATACTTTTTCCCTGAATAGACAATTTCAAAGCAATGAACCAAGAAAAAGTGTGCATTTGGATATCCAAATTCCCCAGCTACACACCAACACACTTGAATACGATCCGGAAGAGAACCCTAGTTCCAAAATCTGGGGTAAAGTATACAAATTAAAAGTGCTTATTCTTTTGACACATTTTTCTTTTATTAATTCACCTCCTCAAGGCCGAGAAGGCCACTACAGACGAGGAGGCTACTTATTTGTGGTTATAACCCTCTCTCAACTCTATAACTCCGAAACACAAACCTTGACGAGCAAGGCCGCTGCGCGGAGAAACGAGTTGAGCGCGGTACTACCAGGGACGTGGTGGGGATCGAACTCGGAACCACTCGTTTATGAAGCGAGCGCTCTACCACTACACCACTACCGCATACTGCTAGATACAGTATATTGCTAGATACAGTATATTGGACATACTGCTAGATACAGTATATTGGACAAAACCATCTTCGAAAATATTAAGAATCAAGTTGCCGAACCACTTCTCTACTATGGTACTCTAAACAGCTAATTAAACGCCACTCCATATCCTTGGTAAAACCATATGCCCTATTGATATTGGAGGTAATATATTTGAGCATAAAATGGTAATTGTTAAAGAGTTAACCCATCCAGTAATTTAAGGATATGACTTCATGAGCCGATTTAATGTCAGATTAGACTGTGGAAATCATCAGGTTACATTTGAAGGTAAACTTGATATAAATATGATCAGTAAATTTATCGACGATAAATTTGCCACCGAAATAATTATTGATAACACGCCAATCCGTCGTAAAATGCAAACTAATGAACTTGATGACAAGTGGTTGACTGTTTCTGAATCTTTTTAAAAGATAATTCGCTTATCCACCAACCCAAGAATGTCAAGTCCGTTAGTAAAATACAACAAAAGAATCTAACCCGATACATATGAAGCTGCACTATCCCAATCACTGCCAAGCAACCACTGTCAATGCCCTATGTTAATGGCAACAATATGTGCCACGAAAGAAATGAAAACAATACCGAAGTGTGAAAATATCCTGACCATAGTACACACCCAAAAAACTGATGAAAATTATATTTTTATACCAGAGACTAATCTCTTTGAAGAACGAGGTGTCCTTCCAACTATAACCAAATGTATGACTAACCAAGTTAAGCTACATGTTGTAAATTGGTCCCCAAAACTATTAGACATACCTCCTCAACCTGTTTTTAAGCGTCCCATCTGTCAACAAGTTCCAAATAATGACTCTCAAATTGCACCAGAAAAAGTAATTCAAAGCGAAAAATAATTGTCAGAAACAAGTGACATTTAAAGACACAGAAACAAGTAAAAATTTACGTCACAACATTAACGGTGGTTTCAACAAGAAAAAATTTTTACAGTGAAAATTTTTACAGTGAAAAATTTTTACAGTGAAAATTTTTACAGTGAAAAATTTTTACAGTGAAAAATCTTTTACAGTGAAAAACTTCGCCAATATATAAACCGTAATCGTTGATAGAAGGAATAAATTTAATATAAAAGTCAGAATCATAACCTTTCTTATATTGACAAATGGCTGTGACAATCAATTTTTCGGTTGTCTTCAATTTTTTCATTTTCTTGTTGAATTAAGGACTTATTAAGTGGTGTTTCCAATTTAGGCAAAAAATTAGTGCAATCAGCCCACTTTTCCAAATGTTTTTTCAAAAACACTTGGAAAATGAGGCTATGGTACAGCCACAACAAGATCAGTCCACGTCAATGTCCCCTAAAGTAAAAAGACATTCAGCGCGTGTTTGCTAATTTCCAGATTGTAAGGCTGTCCACAGAGACTAGAAGACCACTTGTTAACGGTAGTGACAAAAATAAAGGCTTCAATAATTCCCAGATGGAGATTTGGAACGCCTCCAACCACCATAAGTTTCTTACAAAGTTAGTCGCGTTTTACAAAATGCATAGTTTTATTCAAGATTTTGCTGTTTACTGTTATGCTGATTATTTAAGATATTGGTGTTTACAGAGATTTATTGATTCTTATGTTTTTTCGAGATATTATTGTTTTACTGAGATTTTACTGATTCTGCTGTTTATTCGAGATATTGTCGTTTGCAGAGATTTATTGATTCTGCTGTTTATTTAAAATATTATTGTTTTACATAAATTTTACTGATTCTGCTATCTATTCAAGATATTGTTGTTTGCAGAGATTAATTGATTCTGCTGTTTATTCGAAATTGTTGTTTCACAGAGAGATTACAAGTTCTGATGCTTTGAGTATGCTTTAAAGTTCAAGGATGGTCTTTTTCCTGTTTTGGTAAGTAATGTTATGAAGGTCTCAAACAGAAACTACTCAAGTTACTGTGTTACATTTGGAGTAATCTATTACAGGTCATTCATACAAATTTATTCCGTAACATATTTTTGAAGAATCTAATTGTGTAACACAACTATGTTAAAAAAATTAAAAAAAAGAAAAAAATGGTGTAATAAGTTAGAACTTAGCAAATTAACCTAAAATGTTTGGCACTTTTTTTAAAAATATTTTTATTATTTACTTTATAAAGATTATTTAAAATTTGCTTTTACTCTTTTAAAAAAAAACTGTTTTCAGTTCCATAACTTTCATAAACTTTAATGGAAAATATCTCTAAATATGAAAAAGGCCATTCTTACTAAAAATCAGTAAAAATACTCAATCACTACTGATACTTCTTTAAATACCAACTTCTAACGATTGTTAATAAACATTTAAAATATAAAATAAAGTTTATGTTATAAAGCAATTTCAATGAATGACACTATTGTTTAAATAATGATCATCATATTTTAAAGGATGTTCTTTATAAAGATAAAAAGGCATTTTTTCCAGACTCTAGTTACATATCCAAGTAAGACCAATTTTGTTTGTTATAATTAAAGTTATTTTTTTGCAAAAAATATAACTTTAATTATAACAAACACTTGATATCATAACTTATATAATACATTAATTCTAGCAGTAGCAATTTATTATTAATTACTAATTTGTTAATCAAGTTGATTTTATTGTAAGGATCAAGTAAGTACAAGACAGTACAGATCCAAGGCCAAGACTTTTTTACTCTGGATTCTATTCTCTATCTCTATAAATCTCAAACCCGGCCTTGTATGGAATACTGTTGCCATATCTGGAGCATATCTTCTAATGATGCCCTTTCTCTTTTAGACAAAGTGCAAAAACGCATTGTTAACATAGTTGGACCTGTTCTTGCAGCCAATCTTTAACCTTTGTCACATTGTTGTAATGTTGCTTCTCTTCTCTTTTCTACGAATACAATAATGGGCACTGCTCTAAAGAGCAAGTGTCTCTTGTGTCATCTACTAAAATTCATTCTCGTGTTACTCCTCATTCAATTAAGTCTCATTCTTTTACTGTTACTGTTCCTAAGTGCTTCAAAAACTCTTACTCGTCTAGTTTTTTTCCTCGAACATCAGTTCTTTGGAACTCGCTTCCTTCATCTTGCTTTCCTGATTCATATAATTTACAACCTTTTAAGCTGTCTTTCAAGACCAAGAACAAGACAGTTACAAGTCTCGAAAAAGGATAGAAAACTTATTAAAAAAAAAGCTAAACAATCAAACATTTTAATAAAAATAAATGTCTTCATTATATTTAATCTTTAATTATCTCCATTTTTCAATTCCAGTTTATTTGAATTAACATCCTCAAGTTAATATTTAACTGTTATGGTTTTTTTAAATCTGACTTATAAAATTATTGACTTTTAATTAGGACTTCAATTTAAAATATTTTGATTAAATTTCTGGTTTCAAATTTCATCAAAAAGAAATTCTTGTTTAAAAGTTACAATCATTCATAGTTTCTTTAAGGTAACTTTAAAAAAAAAAAATACATGTATACCCACAGCTACTGTGTTTTGCCAGAATAGTGGATAAAACACTTGCTCAGTTGTGCAACAAATTATTATATTAGTAAAAAATCTTTAATGTTAATGTTAACATTCAAGAGTTTTCTGGTGAAATAGTACACCATTCATCATTAAATAAGATTTTAGTTTTTTCTTACAAATAGTTGTGTTTTTTTTGTCACGGATGTTATTGGAAGGATATTCCAAAGTTTAAGACCATAGTGGGATTTAAATTATGCATAGTCATAAAACTAGGAAAAAATAGCTATATTGTATGGCTTATTTTCCCAAATACTCTACCATTTTTTAAATAAAGGCAAAGTAGCAATTTTTTAATAAGACCAAGAAGTAAAAAATTTATTTTTGGGACATCCATACACAGTTTTGTCAGATGCAATTATTTGTTACCAAAAATATAGAAATACATTTAAGTAAATTTTATGTAGTGGAGTAGCCCACAAAATTTTGAGAGTCAGAAAATTTTTAAAAAGATTCATTCAAGATTTCATTAAACAAAAAGGTATAAATGGAGATTTCCTGATATTATATCTATATAAACAATTCCCAAGACCATCCAATTAATCAATCAAACTTATTGACAGGCTTAAGTACTGGATAATTATGATACAGTAAGTGAAATAAAAAAGATATCATAAACATAACTTTGTATTTATACATCAATGGAGACTGCAAGAACCTGTCCAAGTTTACAAAAGATTTTATAATTAGGTTTTCACTGTTTTGTAAGAATGGTAAAGAGGAATATTGTTACAGACCAAAAAAAACAAAAGTAGATGACCACAATGCTTCAAAAATAATTCACTACCACTGTTTAAAGGTGGTTTGTTAAGAATCAGACAAAGTGCATTATTTTATGCAATATGTAGACAATGGAAAGAGTTTTTTGGCAAAATATACTAAAACTGACAACCATAAATAGGACTGATAAAGGCAGTAATCAACTTGATCTTCATTTGAATTTGTGTTTGAACCTGTACTTACTAAGGATGATGTTAGCTTTATACAGAGATCATATTTGTTTGAAAACATCTTTGTCACCATGCATTCTGTTTAAGAACAAATATCACATGTAGTGTATTGAGTAGTGTACAAGAGAACTACAAAGAAAACCTTGTTAGCTAATGTGAAACAAAGACTTCTTACTATGGGTTCACATCTTTCAAATATTTTTATTTAAAGCTTTTTATTGCTAAAAATTATATTATGGTTCAAAGCAAAACTACAGCATAAGTCAAGTTCTGGAGACCATTGACTGAGGTTAGATACAAGACAATATTGTTAGCTTAAAAAAGAAGATTAATGAGAGAAGGGCAGAATATAGGAGTTGTAGTAGGTTCAACACTGAGATCATTAAAATATGAGTTAAATAGCAGGGAAGATAGTACACTTCCTTGTCGCACTTCATTACCAATAGTAAATGTATTAGATAGCAAATCAGCCTAAAAGATTTGAGCTGTTTGACCAGCATACCAGACAATGATTCACACCAGAGACAATTTTATAGAGTTTCATAAACAATTGGTAGAAGCAAACTTTATTAAAAACATTATTAACATAATGAATGCTACATGCATAATTGAGCCATGACACAATAAAAAGTTTAAAAGGTCTTTCAAAATAAAAATGGTCATGAAAGTGTTAAGAATTTTCTTAAAACCAAATGGATTAGGAGGCCCTAATATAAAATATGAAATGGAAGGGCCTTATGAAAAACTTTTTAACAGCCTGAAACAAAAATGTATTCTAAAATCTTGAAGGAAATTGTAACCAAAGCTATTGGACAATAACTTGAGGAATCAGAAATGTTACCATTCTTATCTTTAATGACAGGAGCGACAGCAGAGTGCACAACACCTAAAGGCATCTATCTGTGGTAAAAAAATTCTTATCTTTAAAGAGAAAAAGTAATCAATGCTAGCATAAAGATAATGCTTCAACTGAATTCCAAAATGGTCAGCTGTTTTTCGATGGTTCATTAGTTTAACGATAGATTAAAAACATGTAAAACAAGCTACAATAAATTTGATCCCATTTCTTTTATCCAACAAATTTCTAATAATAACTGGAAATTTTGTATAAAAGAAGATGACAACATAAAAGAATCAATAAACTTTTTCCTTAAAACATTTGAGAAGTATTAGATTGACATACAAAGAATTAACAAAAAAATAAATCAAACTTAAATACTGGATTACTTCTGGCACTCTTAATTCTATTTCTATTAAAAAAAATACTTTATAAAAAATTTACTTGATCAAAAAGCGTAATTACCAAAAATCTATTATTTACTAAATTTATTTTATACAGAAATAAAATTAGCAATTTGTTAAGATATTCTAAAAATATTTACATTAAATCTTAGAGTTAATAATAAATAATATCAAAATATATTTAAAATAAAAAGTTTACACGCAGCCTTCTTAATCAAAGTTCAACATATATAAATATTGTATAACAAGAATATGATTTTAAAAGATTATATATATATATATATATATATATATATATATATATATATATATATATATATATATATATATATATATTTAATAGGGTTATACCTGGATCAAACTTCTCATAGTACCTTGGAAGAGAACTATGTTGCAATCTTTGAAAAAAAATAATTCCAAGTATCATGCCATAGATAATTCGCATAAAAGATGTAACAAGACCAATAAAAATATTGAAGTAAAAAAATAAAAAAGCAGCACCATGATAAACTCTTCTATAAATATTAAAAAAAAACCCATTATTAAAAAATATTTTATAATAAATATAACATAAAAACCTTAAGAAACAAATAAATTAACTTGCTATCATTAATTATAATAATCATGACTGAAAATATATATATATATATATATATATATATATATATATATATATATATATATATATATATATATATATATATATATATATATACATATATATACATATATATATATATATATATATATATATATATATATATATATATATATATATATATATATATATATATATATATATATATATATATATATATATATATATATATATATATATATATATATAAAATAAACAACCTGTTGTTAACAGCAACAACATTTTTATTTATTATAAAAACAAATCTTGCAAGTAGTTTTTGAATGATCATAACAATAATACCAACAAGAATTGTTTGCCTTTAAAGAAAATAAAGTGTAAGAATTATTCATCAAAAAACTTGGAATAAAAGTTCTTTATAAAACAAACAAACAACAAAAAAAAAAACTAGATAAAACTATATCTGCATAACTGAATGCAGTAATACAAATATTTTTATTAAAACTAGCATTGCTTTAAACCATTTTTTATTTGAAACAACTCTTAAATTTAAATGACACTTTTTTTTTTGATTTATGAAACTTTGACTTTTATAGCAAAAAGTACAAACGTTTTTATGTACAAAAACTACAAAAGTGACTCAAAAAATGTTAGTCTACTACATATAACTATTGAAAAACCTGAAGATCAGATTAAAGTTCTCTCTATTGCTAGGCACTGCAAAAGAACTGACATAAAGTATAAAAACATCTTTGTCAGTGAAGACCCTACACCAGCAAAACAAGCATAGTTCAATAAGCTTAACAAAGAAAAAAATGAAAAAACACCAAACTAGACGACCTAAATATCCTCAATTGACCCTTTCATTATGTCATCCATCAACGGTAATGCAAAATCCAATTGACAGTAATAAATCTTCCATATCAAAAATCAATTACCTTCACAAAACTTAATAAAATCTGAGAAACAGTCAAAGCAGCAAAATAACATCTCAGTTTCTCGACAAGAACGACTAATGCTGCTGCCAATAACTAATCGACTATCAGTACCACAAGCACCAAAGAGACAACACCCCCCCTCAAAAAAAAAAAAAAAAACTTAGACTAAACCAGCTCAGCTTAGTTTCCTTACTTCCAAACCTACTTCTGAACTCAGTTAACTATGTTTCTGGGTTAACAAGTTATGTTCACTAAAAGCCTAAAGGCTTGATGAACTAAGGGCACATATTGTTGATACTAAAACAAATCTTCTACCACACATAATGTTCATTGCAGAAACTTGGTTTATTAACACATCAGGCACTTCTAAATATCAAAGGAGAGTTAATAAACGTGGAGGAGGGTTAGCAATATACATTACAGAAACCATCAAAATGACTGATGTTCAATAAACACAACTCAACCCAATTTCCATTGAGCTAAAATGGCTGATTTTACGAAGAAATAATGAGTCACTACTGTTAAGTTGTATTTACCATCCCCCGAATAACAATCTAAATGACTAAATCAAATAAATATATCTGTATAAATATATCTCAATCTCTAAAATCACTTGGATGTTCAATACAAATTTAAGGGGATTTTAATTTCTGCCACATGCACTACAAGTGTTTAGATGTTGAAGGAAGTGTCTTGACAGTTGCAAGTATTAAAGGTTACAATGCTACACACATACAATTTCAAAGTGTTCTTATTAATAGTCACTTGTATCAGTTAGTAAACTTTCCAACTTATCATAATTATTACACAGACCAGCCAAAAACTACTCTAGATCTCATCATAACAAATGCCCCAGTCTGTGTGTTCAAGCTTAATAAAGGAGTTCCACTTAAAAAAAACACAACAACAGGACAGGCACATTGCTTGTAAACTGAAACATTTGCATTGACAGGAACTGTTGAAAATCATACAAAACTGTTAACACCATGTTATATATGGAGCAAAGCCAATTATAAAGCACGCTCCACGTACATTGCAAAATATGACTGGTTAAGAAATTTCAATGGGTTTCAGAGTCAGAAAAATACATTTTGTTAATAAATACAATGAAGCAGTAAAACTACACATTACTTCAACAAATTCATAGAGAAACAAGACAACTGGGTTACAGATAAAGTCAAAAAGGAACTATCCAAAAAACATATACTGTGGTGTCAACACATATTGCCTGGTAGAGAAACTCATAAAACTATTTGTAGTTTATATAAAGCAGCATGTAAGATAGCAAAAACATTAGTCAAGTTAGCGGTTTTAAAACATGAAAAGGATATCACTTACATCTTTAAAGTTGACCGAAAAAAACTACATGCCTATGTAATTCATAAAACGCAAATTTCATGCCCATAATCGCTCACTCAATCTTGATCAAGACACAATTACAGAAGACCAGCAGGTAATATGTTCAAATCTAAACCAGTATTTTCAATCTGTATTTGAAATAGAGCCAGAAGGTCTTATACCAGATTTCCACAATCGAACCAACATTAAATGTACCAAAAAAAAACTGATTATCTATTATCAAAAAGTAAAATCTAGAATGATGAACCTTGATGTGACCAAATCAAAAGGGTTTGATGGAGTACATCCTAGAAACCTAAAAAATTGTGTAGTCACTTTTTCAGTACACCTTATCTTCAATTCCTCAATTGCAACTCCATAAGCTCCAGATATGTGGAAGAAATTCGACTTATTTCCTTTTTTAAATATCAGTTGCACCAATATTTAAAAAAAGTCGAATCGTAGTAACTATAGACCAGTCTTGAAGACATCGATACCCTGTAAAATACTTGAAGGATTAATACATGAATCAATCTCTGATCACAATTAACAATATACTAAAGTTTTAATTACTAAAGTTTAGCATGGTTTTGTGAAAAGAATGAAAAGAAAAGGATGCACAACAAATCTGTTAAAATCTCGCAATATTTTTACTGTAGTCGCTAATTATAACCAACTTGTCGATGTTGTCTTTACCAATTTAGCTAAGGCTTTTGACCAGGTAGTTTAGTATGGTACCTTTAACAAGGTAACATACTAAAGATTTATACATAAATGAAAGCTTACAGCATACAAGGAGTGCTCATAGAATGGATCAAACTATGGCTACCCAGGCGTATACAGAGAGTTGCAATTGGACATGAAAAATCTGAAGGAAAAAAGTAACAAGAGGAGTTCCTCAAGGATCCGTTTTAGACCCCTTACTTTTTGTGATAATCTACCCTCACTTTTTGTGATAATCTACCTAATTTTTATGACGATCTACCAGACATTATTTCTGAATATATAAAACTTTATACAGGCAACAGCAAGATAGTGACAATTATAAAAACACCAGCTGAAGCGCTATCCTTAGAAAATAATAGCTGTTGAATGGACTAGAAATTGATGCATGTTTTTTATTCTTGATAAGTGTAACATCATTCATGTTGCATGACCTTACACTGGTTGCAAAAAAAATAAATCAACACATAATTACACAATGTAAGGCCAAGATAGACTTTGTTATCAATTAAAATGTACCACAATTAGATGTGACCTTGGTATTTTTGTGTCTGATGAAATTAAATTAAAATCACAAGTAGATGCAGCAGCAATAGCAAACTGGAAAATAGGTGTGCTAAAAAAAGCATTTAGAGGACCCAGTCTATTCCTCTGGCAAATATTATGCCCTTCATACATTTGACCTCATCTAGAGTTTGCTATTCATACCTGGTAACCACATCTTAGAGGCCTATCAGCAAATTAAAGCAAATACAACATCGTGCAACAAAATTAATAAATTCACTTAGACATCATACTTAAATTTCATACGCCACCATATGTCAATATTTTTAAGTCAAGGTTGCAGCATCAGGCTTTACATCAACATCAACACTTATAAATAATAGAACTATGTATCAAACTCATCAGCATAGTAAGGCTTGGTGCTGAGCTCTGTCAAACTTTATAATATTATTGTAAAATTTAATTACTGAATACACTAAACTATAGCAAAAAATATTGGTTTCAATAAACTATTAATGACATCACTTGTTTAAGCATATATACTGTTAAGTGATGTTAAAAAAAAATGTGTAGCCACCAGACCTGCGTTTGTACAAATTGGCCATACTAACCATATAGTCTTGGCTGATTCCAAACTCACAAAAATCCCAAAATTCCCAAAAATCACACAAGATTAAGAAATAAAACAATTTGATTTTATGAAAAAGTTTATAAAATACAATTATATTATCATGAAAAATCTAATTAAAATATTAAGAAATTGATTTTTTTAATTTGATTTTTATTTGAAAACAAAATAAAAGAATTTTAATCAACAAGTTTACAAATTTCAATTTAAATTTGTAAACTTAAAGAATACTTCTCAAAATATAATGAAAAACTAGGCCAACAGATATATTATAACTTATAAATACTTATACATTTAATTAATATAATTTACTCTCATTATTAACACCTAAGATAATTAACTCACATACCAAAAATAAAAAAAACAAAATATCAAAATGTAACTTGTTTTAATAGATTTAAATATTAAAGTCTAGTTTTATATATAAGTCCTGTCCAGCATTATATAAAAGACCAGTTCAGCTTTATATGTTTCAAAATATACATTTAGGTTCGCATTCCATTTTCCTAAAGCTATTATTATATTTTTATGTATTAAAAACTATTTTTAACAAAAATTTTATTTATAATAAGTACTTAATCACTTGTAAAAAATTTGTTTTAGATTATATAAATATAAGATCAAATAATGCTTACCACATATAAGAAGTAAAACTACATTATTACTTATAAGAAATTATTTCCAGAGGATACAATTAAATCAAACTATACTTACCAATATAAGTAGTAAAATTACTTGTAAAAAAATAATTCTAGTTTTAATAAGAAGATCAAATAATGCTTACCACATATAAGGTAAATATGTCAAAATAACTGAAAACTTTTTATGGATTATATTGTTAATCTCGATGCTTAATGCAAACACAACAATGAAAAAGATGTCAAAGAGAATAAAGCAACCTTAAAAAAAGTTCAGTAGTGCAGTACCTGAAGCTATAAATAACTAATTATAACAACTTTAAATAAAAAGTTATACATTTATCTTTTCATTTCATCATGATCAACTTTAATTCAATTTTTATCTTGAAAAATCCTAATAAACTATGAAAAGATTTGATAAATTAAAAAATTTAAAAAAATCCTAAATTAAAGATTTATAATTATAGTGTATAATTATAATAAAACATATGATATAAATGTAGCATATATAACATGTATAATAAGGTAATAAAAACAAAAATATTTACTTGAAATTAAACTAAATTAAAATGAACTTGTCATATTAGAAAGAAACTATAACCTCAACTTTCAAAAAATACTGAAAATTGCTAAAATAAAAAATAACTTTATTTTGTCTACTTATCAACAAGTCTTTACATGTATGTTTTCTTTTTTTTTCTTACAGGTATGTTTTCTAATTAGCTACTACTGTCTTCAATAAAAAGGCAAATTATAAGCGGCTTGTTGAAATTTTATTTAGTAAGGTAAACACAATAATAAAGATGAAAGTTCTGTTTTCCTAATATTACATGGAAAACGATCCTCATTTACCAAGATTCATATCTTATCTTTATTTACTTTTTTTATGATAGTGTTAATATCAAGTTCAAACTTGATTCAAGTTTTTATAGGATGAGAAGGAATTATGTTCATATTTATTAATTAATTTTTGATACATAAGAATACAAGCTAATAAATCAGCAATAAAAGCAATGATTATAAATGAATTGAGGGATATTGGATTATTAGTTGGAATAATATATTTATGAATTTTTACCAGATCTTTTGAATTCAATGATATATTTATAACTTTTGTAACAAATAATCATTTAATTATTATTTTTTAATTATTGAATTATTTTCAATATTTTCAATTATTTAATTATTTTCAATATTTTCAATTATTTAATTATTTTTAACATTCAACGATTTTTTATTTTAATAGACGTAATAAAAAAATCAGCTCAATTAGATTTTCATATGTGATTACTTGATGAATTGGAAGCCCCTACTCCAGTTTCAGCCTTAATTCATGCAGCTACAATGGTTACAGCTTGTGTATTTTTAATAATTAGAATCTCACCTATTTTTGAATTTTCATCTTCTATATTATTTTTAATAATTATTATAGGAAGTTAAACTTCTATTATTTCAGCAACTATAGGAATGGTTCAAAACGATTTAAAAAAAAATTAATAGCATATTCTATTTGTAGTCAATTAAGTTATATGATTATGATTTGTGGATTCTCATTTTATGATTTAAGTTAATCTCATTTAATTATTTGTGGATTTTTCAAAGCATTATTATTTCTCAGTGCAGGATCTATAATTCATGCTACAAAACGATGAACAAGATGTGAGAAAAAATGGTGCTTTTAAGATTTTTTTGCCTTCAACATTTGTTTTTATAGTTATAGGATCTATAGCATTAAATATAAAAAAGCACCCATTGATACTTGATATTGATTGATATTGATACTTAGGACAAAGCAATTGGAATCAAAACTGTTGTTGATGAACTTAAAACTGATTTTAAAAATCATTTTCATAAATACAAAAATAATGTTATAACTGATCACAACATGTTTATAGAATTTTATATCAAGTGTACTACTGCTTTCATTCAGAGTGTCATTTACAACAAGCAAAAGAAGTTGGCTTTGTTAAAAACTCTGATGCTGGTCAAATCAGAAAAAGAAGACTACTAAGCATGGACAGCTTTTTTGACCAAATGGGTACAAATGAAAATGTTTCACAAAAGTTTGAAAACACTGATCCAAGAAGAAAAACTCAAAGTCTAAAAGAAAACAGTACGAATAAAAAATACCCAAATAACATTGTTATTTTTTTTATTTAATACAAATTTAATTGATAATTAATGTTAATTTTCAAATCAAATAAATTTCAAACTAGTTGTTTTCTATTTTATCTGTTTTTTCTTTGTTGCATTGAGCCTTGTCACTAGAAATTTATTAACAGGTTTATTAGCTCAAAAAATATGTAGTTATTTTTATTTAATCTTGTCAAAAAATTAATTATATAGCTCTGATATCATATGCTTGCAGCAAAATTAAACTATATATATATATATATATACATATATATATATATATATATATATATATATATATATATATATATATATATATATATATATATATATATATATATATATATATATATATATATACATATATATATATATATATATATATATATACATATACATATATATATATATATATATATACATATATACATATACATATATATATATATATATATATATATATATATATATATATATATATATATATATATATATATATATATATATATGTATGTATATATATATATATATATATGCATATATATATATATATATATATATATATATATATATATATATATATATATATATATATATATATATATATATATATATATATATATATATATATATATATATATATACATAAACACATACACATAAATATACATAAAAATACATACATTATTACCCCATAAAGAATAAGCAACTTGATATCCGGCAAACTTCATACTGGCAACCTTAAAAAAAATTATTTTACAGTTAAAGAACAATTATATATACAAAATATCTTAATACAAATAAAATATAAAATATATAGTAAATCATAAATAACTAAATATCAAAATTGCTTGGTCAAATTTATTTATTATTTGATAAAAAAACTGTTATTGAAAAATAATTGTAAGTAATAAAATTTATGTTAATGCTATAAGTTTTACTTGCAGTCAAAATTGAATTTTTTTTTTTAATTATAACTTTTTTTTCCTATTTATTTAGTTATATTTATGTTCAAAACTATCAAAAATCTAAAAAATGTAATTTTGTA